ATGAAATCAGCTCTTCGTGGAGAATCTAAAAATGCAATGAAATTCAAGGTGTTCCATTTGAAATAACAAAGTTGTTGCTTCTTTTCGTTAGCAGCGGCAACGCCGCAGGGCTGAAAATATTGTAGGACGATGTCCCCCTCGAAAACGTAGTTGACGTGTTTCAGATGCTTTTCATAATCCGGTTTTGGCGACCTACAGAGCCTCTGTTTCGTTTTCAAAGGCCCACTCTGTATATTGAGTTTAAATTCATCATTATTGTATGTACAAGATGTATGGAATTATTTTGCTCGTGTTAAAAAAAGTCTATTGTATGGCAAGAATGTTGAAGGACTTTCAGTCTGAATTGATTAAGCATTCCAATAGTGTGTTTTCCGGAAACTTCCATCTTGGGTTTACTGTTGGATCTCTCTGTGAACACTGGAATTGGATAATTTAGAGATTGGATTCGTATTTTGAAATCTTTAACGTTAGCTTTTCCAATCTCTCAAAAATTGGTTACACCCTGGTCAGCCGATATAGGACCTCGTTTGATGGATGGTCAAGGGGATTTTGAGAGCTCCTTTTGCTACTTCCAAATTGTTCAGTGACGTCTTCCTCGTGTTTATGTCTGATGTGAGATTTTTTTCATTTTATAGAGAGAAACTTCCATCGAAAACATGTAGATATATATCCATATTGATAACAAAATTTGTATTTATATTCATCATCCCCGATAACAGGAATTTTTCTGATGGCCTGAGGAAGTGTTTGGGATCACACGTTGAAAGGTAAGGCCTCCGTCATTCCTTGCTTGCACAAGTCACTCGAAGACTTCTGAGGTTTGCTCATGAGGAGGCAACCGAATGACGGATAATAACAATTTCAGAACCATTTTAAAACAACCCATTCAAAGAGTCACCAACATTCACGATTTCATCAGGGGTAATAACATGAGTGCTCGAAATACTATATCGATTGTAATTCTTTCAGAAATCAGCGAGATCCAATTGCTTGGATCTTCTAAAGTTCCGAAAGAATTTCCGATAGTATTTTGAGCGTGAGTTGTTTTCATTGAGACTATGCCATGATCTACAGCTTGACCATTCTAGCTTGGTCACTGAGATGCGCAAACGATAGACAGATATGGGTAGTGTTTGACAAAGATCCCCGACGCCTTTTGATTGGGAAGTACAATCGTACTGTTCTAACCGATGTTCACTGAACCGTTCCTCGACAATAGTGTCATTCTTTCAAATCTGAATTAACTGAAATATTCTACTCGAACTGAACTGAGTCAGTTAATATGCGTTCTCTCGAATGACGATCATTGCATGTCGACTGATTCAGTTCAGTTCAAGCGGAATGTGTTAGTCCGTTCAGAACGAAAGAATATCACTAATAATTTGCTCTCGCCTCACTCCGCCGACTGGTCTACTGCGCATCCAAGCTAGAATGGCCAAGCTGTACTAAAAGAGTTATCTCCTTGTTACACCAGCTGACAAGATTGATTGTCTTCATCACCCCAAGTAACATTATTGTTTATAATAGGGATATATGCAACAATACAACAAAAATATTAATAATGAACCAGAGCAATAAAGAATGTATAATTATTGTTTTTCATGAAAACAACTCATGAAGTGAAAATATTATAATCCATTCCAATTAATCAAATCGTATATGATTATTAGATATGGAATTAAAGTTTACCAAGCAGATATTTCTATTAATTGATTTTTTCTACATTCATCCAATACATTGTCCAACTCGGCCTAACGGCCTCGTCGGACAATTTCACGTCGAGTGCAATAAAAATTCACTTTTTGCACTTGTTGCATAAATAACTATTAAATCTTTCTCCTTCCTTTATATTTCTTTCATATTTTTCTACTGATTAGGTAAGAAGTTGAGTATATGAGATTATTCCACTACTGAATATTGATTGATCACCAAAATTCTACCTATAACTATTTGCTATCAATTTAATTAAATGGCCCTGTTTCATGTGTGTGAATCGAATTAACTTAATTAAACTTCAAAATCGATATCTTCAATTCATATTCCTGACCAAATGAATGAAATAAAAAAATTTCATTTTATATAATGGAACTAGATTCAGCAAGTCCTGAAGATTGTATAGATTTGAAGTTGATTCTAGCAAAAGTCCTTTGAAAATGCACTTTATTGTTTAATTTTGTAATTCCAGGAGTTCCTCCGGACGTGAAATATTTGTACTTCCCAAAATAGGTATTAAATATTGTGAATTCAGGTATCTAATAGGGATAAAATTTCGAATTCAATATAAATACCTAATACGATAATTGTTTATCAATATAAAGACCTAAAAATTTTGTTACATTTGTATATTCGATGGATTTGTTATTGAAACATATTGGTGTATTATTCAATATGTTAATCGTTTTTTTACCGGGATATATGAATGAGTAGATTGATTATAATCGAGAGTGCTCTATTCAGATTCACGGTTGCCGTGACAACGTGGTCCACCGACTCGAAAGGACAAAGCAGCGTACTATCAAAGTATATCATTCTGATCGGTTCTCATATTAAAGGATATGGCATTTGTATATTCGTCGTGGGATTGTCAGAACTATTCACATTCCATCTACTTATATTCTCGTACATATTCTGACCCAATTCAGATGTTCATATATCTCCCTAACTATTCAAGTTTCCGTTAGACGGTTATTACTAGTCTATTTTGATGTTTTCAAGTTTGTACGGGTTTATCTTCCCACTAAAACGTTCGTTTCTACCAGAAACAAACAAGCCATTTTTCAGGTGTCTCAGGCAACTCGTGTTTTCCGTGAAATCACCCGGTATATTTTTGCACACTCAGAAAAACTGGTCTTTTTTTATCTTACAATGTATTACAAGTGAGGTTTCCTCAAAAACTGTCAATGACATTGTTTATCAAAAACTCTCGAGCCGTAAGCGAGAAGATTTGGAACAATATCATTAGCGAAATTAAAGCAGCAAGCTGGAGTAAATATGTCAATCAACGATTATTTCTAGGAAAAATGGTATCACGAGTTGATTCGAATGAATATCCCATGATTGAGACAATAAACGAACGGGTCAACTCGGCTTCTGCATTGGTAGCGCAAGTCCAATAATATTGAGTTAACAAAAAAATATCACTGTAATACAGAAGAAACTGTAAAAATGGCCGATTCTCATTGATTCTAGAGATCAAGAGTGGAATAGTCAAAGTAATGTTTCTCTGAAGCAACTACTGCATGTGTGGAATGGTTTAATATAAGATTATCATGCATTGTTGTGAAAGTCGCCTTTGGAAATTCTGCTCATATTTCAACAGATGGAATGCCAGATCAAATGTCACATTAGGATTGTCGAACATTCGTAATATGAAATGTTCGATTTAACTGAAGAAGCTACGTGTGTTGCAATGATTTAACTCAAGATCCCAGTTAATCTACACGAAAAATTCTTGGTTCGGTGTGCCATGTGAACGCACAATATGTATGGTCAACTCAGACATATTGAAAAACATTATCTATCCACAATTGGAACAGGACATTTTACTGAATATAGCATATACTCAAAGAGATGGAGCTATACCTCACTATGTAGCAATCACGAGATTCTTTGAATGCCACCTTTGGAAATCGTTGAATTGGAAGAGGAGGCCCCATATACTATGGTCACCATGACCTCCTGACTCAACAGTACTCGATTTTTTATGGGGTCACGTCAAAAGTCGTTACTACAATCCATTATAACGTAATCAAATGTATTCAAAACAATAGAGGACATTTCGAAAAGTTGCTTTTTCATTCATGTTCACTTGATTCATTTCTCCAGTGTTGAACTGATGTTGAACAAAATTCAAAATGGACTGATCATGAATCTGCATCAGTTCCATACTCAATATACGGTGATAAGTATCACAGGATAACATCATATTTTGCAGTAGTTACATCAAAAAAACTCTGACAGTTTTTAAGGAAAACATAACTCATTATACATTGTGAGGAAGAGGGAAGACCAGTATTTCTGAGTGTGCAGAAATATACCGGTTGATTTGATGAAATGAAAAAGTTGTCCTATACCTGAAAAATGTTTCAGGAAGAAACGAAAGTTTGAGTAAGAAATGGTACCGAAATCTAGGTTTCTATCAATTTGTATTCATTTGTATTTCGTATTGTGTCCGTACTTATATCGATGTTCTCGTTTGAAACCAGCAAAAACTCGGCCTACGGGCATTTTGGAATGCTGGAGACCATTTGAATCAACCAATTTCCGCAGTAGGTACTCTGATTCTTTGTAAAATTTTTAACTAATAACCAGTGGATCTTTATGCACTTCAAGAGATTTTTTCTGTGTGAGCCCATGTACCTGTTATTTAGGTGGGTTTATTTTGCCCTCTATTCTGTTGCTGGTTGTTTCCTTCCCATAAACGATGTTAGATAGGACTAAATCACTTCATTTGGTTATTCAGATGAGAACAAGTTGTGGACATAGCTGTACCCCAAAAGGCGGATATTTGCAGCGAATTAAAAGTATATCAGCTACTTTACTAAACCATTGTTCTTGTTACGAAATAAGGCCTAACAATCCATCCCCTGAGAATTATTCAGCCAGTCACTGGCACCCATTTTATCCGATTTTGTGCCTACTATGTTACAAAGGTGGAACCGTAAGGAAAATTTAAGAATTTCAAAATAGACTAGTCCAAACCGCTCACTTCAATAATATAAATTCTGATTCTAATCAATCTTACAACCATATTCTCAGAACTGGTATTTCAGATGGAGTCCGTTTGCATTTACATTGAATATCAATACCTAAATTTAGCCTCGTCAGCATATTTTCTCAAGATATTATTGCGCAATGTATGTATAATTCAGTAGAAATGATTAAACTGATAGAGGCTAATCATATTTTATCAAACCGCATATCACTTGAAATCAGCCCCAAGTCTATATAAACTCTCATGAACTTCTGGGAGATTTCAATTTAGCAAACGATCAATCATAATGAAGGGCTTTATTTTATATTTCATCGGTTTCTATTCAACGTATGCTAGTCCAGGTAAGTCATGATTGCTTGAAAGTATCATTATTATTCAAGATAGGTAATTGTATTCCAGGAAGCATCGATTGTATTTCAGAAAAGAAAATTCAATTTCAGAAAACCAAAATTGTATTTCGGAATGGTCATTTGTATTCCAGAAAGCGTCGATTGTATTTCGAAATATTCAATCGGATCCCAGAAAGTGTCATTTTGTATTTCAAAAAATATCGATTGGGATATAATAGACGCATTGTGAAATTGAATTATTAAATTGAGGCCCCCTGAAATTCAATTGACACTTTCTGAAATACAAATGACTATCCTGAAATACAATCGATGCTCCTCTCGGCTCACCCAGTATAGATGAATAATGAAAAAAAAAAGTTCGGAAAGTTGTATATAGATATGTTGATGTATGAGATATAAGAAGTATGAAGGTGTAGGAACTATGTATGAATGAATGATAAACTCAACTGAATTTACTGAGCCTAGTTTTTTCACAGTTTGTTACAGTGGTTTTGTTACACAAACATACTGCGGTCAGTCAAGCAAAACCACAGTAGAGAGCTCTCTACTGTGGCAAAACTGAGGTTGAGGTGAGGTTAAACAGGGCCTACTCTATCTTACCGGGCCGTAGTCTATCCCCTCTCTCTCGACGCTGACGTCACACTAGTAGGTTGAGATTTCACATCAGTCCGTACTGATGCGTTGGTAATTGATAGGCTATAGCTCATTTACTATAAATTTTAGAAGCACACTCAATCGAGAAGAAATGATCCCCAACGAATTCCTCAACTTTTGGTGAAAAAATGAATCCAATAGGATGAATCAATACCGAGTTAGGGCGTTGTAACGAAATTCCATTTTTGAAAATCAGGACGTTGTACTACAGAATACTATTTTTTGCAAATTTGGAATTGGAATAAGATGAAACTAACTCAATATATCAAACTACGATAATGAATCAATTGAATAGTGAAAAAATTGTAGAGTTACCTACAATGAGTCCGAAAGAAATTAAATATATAGAGCGCGTAAAAAATGGGCCGTTATACCTACCTACCCAAATTTCGCTGTATTACGATTTCGCGGTAATTCCTTGGACTGGTAAAAGGCGATATACTTTTTATTACTCATTTTATTTCTGAATGGCGTATGGTTCAGACCAACTAATATTGGTGTCTGAAAAATTCGAAACAATATTTCTACAATGTAAGTCACAACATAAAGTTTTGTAGAATTTAGCAGAAATTAAAATTAATTCCCTTCTAAATTATTCCGAGAATAAATAATATGTTGCAAATGTGGGTCTTTTGATTTAATCAGCAGAACATTCTTTAAAACCATTTCAAATATTCTGTTGAACAATTATTGCAAAATAAAAAAAAAATTGAGATATAGTTCAGATTTCAATATTTAGTTTGTGATTAAGATGATGTATACATATTTTTTGTTATTAGTGTATTTCATTTTGTGATATATCTATTAATTTTTTTTATTTTGTTATGTTGATCATTTATACAGTTTATTTTGTTTGGTTTTGTTTGTGTATAAGAATTCAACGTTTTTCTTTTTTGATTTTTTGCTTATTCATTCATATATCGTTGTTCTGGGTATTTTGTTATTAAGTCGTTGTATTCATTTTTATATCTCTCATTGTTGAGATACATATTTTTTCAATTATTTTTGTTAGGTTGTGTTCATAAGAATTCCACATATTCTGTTCTTTTTAATTTTGATACTTTGCAAATATATCCAAATCAAATTTTTTTCATGAATTTAACGTTATCATTCAAATATATACTCTTCAGCAGAAAATAATTGATACCGAATAGGCGTTTTTGTGTAATAACACACTCGAGTGATAGGATTTCTAACGTCATCAAAGTGCGTCCTGATCATCTTCAGAGATAAACGCTGCTAAAACCCTTCGAGATAAAGTGGATGTGTATTATACCGATTTGCAGGCAATCAAATTTCCTACAAAAAAGTCAGTGACAGCATATATCCATTGTTGATAGGATTAGCATGGGAGGCGTCCGAACTTTTTGAACTATTCTGTAATGAACACCTGAATCATCGTTCTACTTGAATTGAAATATCGGTTTGTTGTTGGCCCTTGGGAATTTCAAGAAAAATCTCAGTCAATCTAGATAATATGCGAAATCTTTTCATGGTTGAATCATTTCTGTAAATTGAATATTGGAATTTTGGTAGCTGTTTGAAAAAGGACAATTCTGAATGGGGTCAATTGATTTTGATATGCCATATTTCTGAAATTAATGATCGTAAATAATTAATGATCGTAAATCAGTGAAATTTGATTCATCTTCTGGAAAATTCTTTTCTGTACATATTTGACCTCTTGATATTTTTCGCTAACTGTGACCGTTTTCCGGAGGTAAATCAATGAAACGGGAGAGACAATTTCCACTGCCTTGATTTTGTCCCTACTAGTGTGACGTCACGAAAGCGATGCTCCGGCCCGGTGAGATAGAGTAGGCCCTGGGTTAAACCATTAACAAAAAGTTGTTTCCCTTGTTCTCTCAAGTAATTTTCCGAAGAATATACTTTTAACGAAGAAGGTACATTTGTAGGCCAAATTAGGTTAGATTGTTCATAGAAAGTAGTATTTTTCGTTCGCTTAAATAATTTTTAGAAGAATATATTTTCAAGGAAGAAAGTCCAAATAGCCGAGTTTGGTTGGGTTGTTGTGGAGAAGTAGTTCATTTCGTTCACTCGATGGATTTTCGAAAAATACACTTTCTAGGAAAAAAGTCCATCAAGGCCGAGGCTATAGATCGTCCTCCTGCCCATTGTTAGCTTTGATTCGCATAAAGCATATCCAGCTGTAAGCCTCGTAAATTGATCGTCAGCAGACCTAGTGCAACTGATGAGGCTCAAAAAGCCGAAACAGTCTGTCTTGCATCAGGTGACAACCGATTCACGAAATTCCCCTAGTATTGTTTAGTCTTGAGATTCTAGATTCATCATCACGGTATCTATTTGTTTAGCAACAAATATAATCATTTCCTCTTCATCGTATTTTATTATTATTTATTGTATACTCATTACGAATTTCACAATTGAATTCGAATGATATCGAATCACAAATTTCTACGTCGCGGATATGATATCGCGGAAGTGATGTAGCGGCTATATAATGACTCGTGGATATAACGTCACGGATTTGATGTAGCGGATATTGTATGTAGAACCAATTAGTTGACTATACTTGTATGCTAAAACATTCTGAAACATTGTTTTCTAGTGTGTTAATAAACAAGAGGCATTTGATATTCCGAATAAATAATTCAATCCATATCTGGCGATCGCTACCTAAACTGTTTATAGTGTAGAATCAACTACCATACCTTCACATTCAAACTCTCAACTTCTTTGGTCATTGTATATAACATCAGAAATAATGAATTTCACTCTAAAGCGATGACACCTTCATAGACCGACACTGTACATAAATCTGTTCTTTCAATTCATAATATATTCACATGATGCAATATTGACTTCAACAGTTGCGATGCTGGATGACCAATATTATTCCGGGACCATCCTCATATCAGAAAATACTCCAGGGCAATATGGAATAGAAGACCTCACGCGAGAAGTCATATTCGAGGCTCCCCAAGAATCTGATATCCAATTATACTTCCACGTCCGGAATGGATCAGCTGATGGCGTCAAAGTGTATACCAATGACAGCGAAGGCATCATATCCGCAGGATTTTTCAAAGAAAAACACACTTTGTTCATCGTCCACGGATGGAGAAATCAATACGATTCACCAGTCATCGAGGTCATATCGAAAGCTGCCTTGGATGCCCAGGATATCAATGTTTTCGCCGTCGACTGGAGCAAGATAGCGCTCCTGGAATACCAGGAAGCAGTCTCGGCTGTTCCAGAAGTTGGAAGACTGCTTGGAGAGCTCATAAAGCGCCTTGTAGCTAATAATGGACTGGATTTGGCTAGCACAACTGTTGCTGCGCATTCTCTGGGTGCTCATGTTGCTGGGATAGCTTGCGCTCATGTTGGAAGCGAATGTGATGTTATTGTAGGTGAGAATAAGCTCAATTATAAATACCTCCACCAATGTTGAACTAATATTATGGAAGTTCGATTACTCAAATGGCTACATTTTGATGAAATCTGATTCTAGGAGTCTCCTCTAGCTCTGTAATAGAAGGTATTCAGAAGAAAAATCAGTTTTTGTGAACTCCACTTCTTATTAGTTGATAATCATTTTGATATTCCTGCATTTATTCTGAAATATGTAATTTCGTCATCAATTTCACTTTTCACATTCATTTTATGTCACTCAGATTAATTATTCATGGACAAGTGACAAGTCATCTTTGGTAAAAATAGGGAATGATGTTTGATGGTTGCAGTAGGGAGAAGGGGGATTATTAGGGTTGGCTTGGCTAAATGGTTCGCGAAAGGAAATATTTAAATATGCGATGATAGTTTGAAGGCACCTAGCTGAAAGTAGGAGACTGCATTCGAATATAATATTTCTGATGGCATATTATATGGGTAGCAATTAAATATGAATGAACAAAAATGACTATGTAAACTCAATGACAACTTACCTTATGATGAAGTAAGTATATGGGATCACACGCTAAAAAGTGAGGCCCCCGTCATTCCTTGCTTGCACAAGTCTCTTGCAGATTCCAACTACGAAATTGCCACAATGCTCAAAGTGGAATGAATTGTTGAATAAATACGAAAAGCTTAAAGTCATATTCACACAATGTTCAAAGGCAGAACAACCATGGTCGATTTCGGGAGAAAAACAACCACTTTCCTGGCAAATGCCACGCAGAACATTGAATTACATTCTACCGAAATCTATTCATCGACTCGTATAAACGAATACTGATAAAAATGATTCTTTCCTGAATGCCTATTGATTTAGATTTAACAAGGCCCCGCTAGACACCTACAAACCGGTTTCGAGCTTTTGACTCTCATCAGTGCAGGGCATTCTCCAGCCAGCAGTCCTAAGACCACCGACTGAGCATAGCCTAGCCTAGCCAAATAAAAATCAGGTCGAAATGTTTCGATCTTACCTTCTTTTCTACTCATATCGCGATGCTTTCATATTGTCATTGTAGGACGCCTCTGGGGAAATATGATGCCGACTTGATTTTTGTTTGGCTTGGCTACGCTTAGACTGCCCTGCACTGATGAGAATTAAAGAGCTCGAAACCGGTCTGAAGGTGTCTAGTATGGGTTGGCTAAATCGAAATCGATAGGCATTCAGGAAAGAATCACTTTTAGAATAATTTTCAGAACAATGAATACCATTACGGAGAGTTTTTGTGGAGTCAATAGTAGCCTCAAACGATTTTGTTAACACGTTGAATGCCACGTATGGCTGGAGTAGGAGGCTCTGAGAAACCAAGGCTAGTTTTGAGTAAATTATCATTTATTAAAACGTAATTTGTAAATATATAGTCTTGCTAATTCATGCTGATGTTCTCAAGGTCACCAGCAGCTGCCCAGTTTACTGCACAGCGGGCTATATTTGGGGTTTTAGCATGTATAGCCCGCCGTCCAGTAAACTGGACATACACATATCAAGAAAAAAAAAATAGAACTAAGTGCATTACTCATTCATTCGCTTTATTGCATACAAAAAATTTAAATTGAGATCGAATCTAGATATAAGAAGCCTAAATGGACGATGCATGCCAATTTTTGAAACAAGGATAGACACAAAGATAAGGTGTTTCCGGGCAAACAGGGCAAAAATATCTAGTTTTCTGTTTTCCTTCATCTTCGGGCATTGGCGGCTTCTCTCCATTGCGGAGTTTTCTTTCTCTCTGTTGCTGGATTCGGCTCCAAAAAATGAAATTTCAACAGAAGTTTCTATTTGCTGATCTATAAACTTTATGATTACTCTTTCACGGAAGTCCGAAAGTCTGATATTTTTATTCTGATAAAGATTATAAATGTAACAAGCATTCCACATACACAAATCCACCAAATGGAAAAAAAAGTTGCGGTACCACCTCAAGGTGGAACTCAATCATTTGGACGGATCGGTCAATACCTGACATGTGTTTATTATAATCAATAACACATGCAGGTTTGATCTTCTTATTATTAGCTCTCTTTCCTTGAATTTCAATCATCGAATGTTTATGCAAAGTACTTATCTTACTTATCTTTCGGACATTTATTTTATTTTTTCAGTTGGTAAGCATAACTGGCCCCTCACTTTTCCATACAACTTCACCTTTTTTTAGCCTGCATGTTGCCAGAATTATTCTAATATTCTTATCCCGATTGCCCAAAAAAAAACTATATCCCGTACTATACATATAAAACCAACTCAGTGGCCCGACGACAAAAGATAGAGAATATACCCGCTGTTTAAACGCGTCCAGTTAAGTGGTTATTATTTTTAACTGAGACATGTTAATTCGCCAATATTTCGAAAACTGTTGATTGTAGGCATAAATAACCTCATCCAAAGTTAGCTTCAGTTTCATGTCGAATCGAATGAGAATATAAAATTGGGGGATTCCCATTTGAAAAAATTGACTAACAATATTTTTTGCAACCGGATCTTTATCATTTTCTGGTGAACGCCCTGTATAACTGTAATCGAATTGACATCAAAATTGAAATGAACTAGGTCCCCTTCCACGAATACATCGATTAACAATCGAAAATAAATGATCGTGTCCAGAAATAAAAAAAAATAAAAATTCGGTCTGCAAACGCAATTTTCAACTTAAAATTTGAAATATTTCGAAAACGGTTAGACTTGGTTATAGGACATCATACATAATACATGTTTAGAATCATGCGTTAAATCTAAAACCTTGATGATATACAGGGTGTCCCATTCAAAGTAACGAAGTTGGGATCCACTTCTGGTACAACCGGAAGTGCCACAATCTTCAAAATATTTCAGCCAGACTGCACTTATCAACGATAGGGAACTCCCATATTTTCAAAGGCCCACCTATGGTTTTCTATATATTGATCGATGTATAGTTGTGAATAAATATTTGAACACTACCGAATATTTACAAATTCACTTCGCGCATAGATGATCAAGTTTGCCATGAATAAGGTCTTCCTCAACCTCAATATTGAGAGTGCTAAGGAAATCGTTGTTTCTTCAGGTATGGACCCAGCGGGTCCACTATTTTCTTACGACAAAATAGATGAACGTCTAGATCCCAGTGATGCCAAATTCGTCCAAGTCATCCACACCAGTGCCGGATTATTTGGTTTCCTGGAACCAATAGGTCATGCTGACTACTTCCCCAATGGTGGAAGTGATCAACCCGGATGCGAATCTGATTCAATCGGAGCATGCGACCACGGGAGAGCCTTCCTTTACTATGCTGAATCCTTGACGACGGGTGATTTCACGGCTGTCAAATGTGGCAATTACACTGATTATGAGAATGGTAAATGTGCTGGTCAGTCCAAATCGTTTTTGGGTCAGTACCAGGTTGATAAGAGGTGAGTATTCTATTTCTGAACGCGAGACTACATGAATAATTTTGATTCTTTCAAATAAAACACCCTGAATTTTTCCACATATCTTGATTCGTATTCATTTGTCTTCACATCAGTTTCCTTAAATTTTTGCAATACTTATGCGGCGTTGCCAAGTTAATCAGATTAATTTCGAAGACTTATATTACTTGAATGTTAATTTCTATCAATGGTCAACTTTGTTATTGGAAATGCAACACACATTCCAGTAGAAATGTATTCCTATTTTCATTCTCTCTCATTTGATATTATTATCGCACATCGAAAGTTATTATTTATTCAGCAGAATTATTTGATGATTCCACCTGAGACACGAAACTATATTGTTCATCAATTGTTTGCATTAGCAGAACGGCATGGCTACTAGATGAAAATTATAGCAATGATCAACGATTGTTCAGTTAAGTAGAGCTTAAGGAAATTCGAATAACATCACCAAAGAATAGAAAACATTAGACATGTTTGTGTACACAGTAGAAAAGCGAATTGGAATATGTCATAAATAATGAAAAAATATAAGGTGGTCCATTTTAAAAAATTTTGATTCATATTCTTTAGAGGTGAAAATAATTCAAATTTGCAGACCTTACGGTACGATATCTCAAATGAAAATTATAAATTCCGATATCAGTTTCTTGATTTAAACACATTGATCCACATGGTGACTCTTGTCAATAGATATGTTTGTACCGACGACTTATATGTACTCGCGGAAAATGAATTACAAAAACAGTAATTCCAAATATTATCATCATAAATTAGGGATTTGATCGACATATCAGTTGCGTAGCATAAAAATATTTTATTTTTTTCATCTCTCCGAGCGCTCTGAGGAGCATCAGCGTATTTTTGGGCGCTGAACCCCATTCATGGGAACATTATTTTAAACTGTCCGTAACTGTGCATTGTGCATAATGAGGAGCTGTTGAGGTGGAAAGTAGATTTTCGAAAGGAAAACGAATCCGAGTTTTCGTAAGCCGCTTTTGCGATGGATCGGACATGATTTTGCCATAGGAGAGTAGGTATTGCTGATGGTCATACCGAGCATAGTTGTCTTGGTGGGAATGGTGGTACCAGACATTGTTATTATCCAGGCTCTTCAAATTTGGGGCGTTGAATTCGACTAGGTTGTTTGTTCCCCAGGCTGTAATTTTCGCAAGATCTTCATCGACAGAGTTGGCCCGCCTTCGACGTAAGTTCTTAGTTTCCTGAGAAGAAATGGCAATTCTGGAAGAGAACGAATTTCGTGGAGTACTATCCTCTGCAGAGCTGTGGATAGGGCAAGTTGTTGCTCCCAATAGATAGTTGATATGAAGTATAAGAGAAGGAGAATTGATGGCAATAGTATTGACGATACTCCGTTTATCACCAAATTGAGCAATCTGCCTGAAAATACCTAACCTCATGAAATATGGCATAGCTGAGGTGGTAAGCCGTATGATGGAAGTTTGGGGAGCAGTCCTTGGTGCCAAACACGGTCGATATACTTATTGACATAGGTATGCCCCTTGTTTCTCTAATGAAACTCGCCATATATGGAAGACGTAGGTGAGTGAATCTTCACTTGATTCTTGGTGACGAAAGCTAATTTGTCTATCATCAATGATTTCTGAGCTTTCCAGATATTTGATGAGCTCAATGTTGATGGCTTTCTTCATCACTTCGGAGGAGACTGATAGCAGGGCAAATAGCCAATAATTATTGGGCAGGCTTTTACTTCCTTTTTTGGGGATTGGTTGAACTCTTGATATTCTCCAGCAAGATGGAAAAATACCCGACTTGTAGGAGATGGTCAATAGTTTGCAGAGCATCGGTGTACATTCTGGGGCACACCTTATGAGAATAATCGGTGGATTCCTATCAGGACCATCATACTTATTCGTTTTGGTACCGAGCAGAATGCGTCTGATGATGCATCGACAAGAGAACCTTTCGGGCATTTGACTTTCAACGGGTGGAATGTCTAGCGACACTCTTGCCTGGGTATCCAAGGTAAGGTTTGCTGCGAACATCTCTGCAAAAATGTTCGCTTCCTCTTGCAATGTTGTTGCTGGTGTGCCGTTGCTTTGAAGAGTGGTGGGAATGAAATATTAGTGAAATTATTTTTTACTGCCTCAGCGAGAAACCAAAACGACCGGAAGATATTGTGAAAATCTATGAGTTTTGATCTTCCTCAGGTATTATATGGTTCTTTTTATGCATTTATTGCATTGATGCAGTTATTCTTGGTTTCTACATATTTTCCTACAGTCACGACGTTAGGGTCCATGCGTCACCGATGGTAGGCTGTTGGTTTCGAGGCAACAGATCTAGAACAGTTCTTATTGAACTAGGGTTTTGAAGCTGATCGTCTTTCAGAAGAATGAGGTATGTATATGTTCATTCCAAGCGTGATGATCTCGTATATTTCCGCGGCACACTGTGAAAGATCCTCAGGATCAAAGCATATTCTATGCCAATGGAGTAGTAGTAGAAGTAGTAGGTGGGGAGGCTTTAGCCAAGCAAGTAGGCCCCGATGAGCACTTTTTCCTAACCCCTGCTCTCCACATATCTACGATTTCTTCACCTAGATTTCCTTCACGAATCTCCCTGACCTTCTGATGAAGGTATGTCCGTCCACTCTAATATAATCCTCCTCCTGTTGGAGTTTGTCTACTTCAGAAATTTCCAAATTCAGCCTTCCGTACGCCTCGCACTCGCCGAGAAAATGGAGTGACGTTTCCTTGTCTTCCCTGCATCTGCAGCAAGTGGGGTTGTCCTCTATTCCCAAAAGTGATAAGTGTCTGCCTAGCCTGTTGTGTCCTGTGAGTACTCCTATATAAGGAGGCGGAGTACTTGCGATCTCTGCCAAGCAGCCACTCCTTCCTTGATTTGCTTTGACCGGTCATGAATGCCTTGGCCTGCCTGCAACCTGTGATAATCTTTCAGTATCCTCCTAGTGCCTTGTCCGCCAATTCATCGAGGGCTGACGTGATTTGGATCCTTGCTATACCTAGTACAGGCTCCGGTCCCAGGAACGGCTCCGTGGATCCGGCCCTAGCAAGTTCGTCTGCTGTTTCGATTCCGGGCACCCCACTGTGACCCGGGACCCATACCAGTTCAACTTCCTTCGATTCGGCTGATATCTCAAGGGCATTTTCACATTCCTGTACCAATTCTGAGCTTGTTCTTGGATGACAGATAGCCTTGAGTGCTGCCTGACTATCCGAACAGATGTAGATCTTCTGCTCTGGTCCCTCTTCCACCTCTTGTCTCTCTGCTACGACCAGGTTGGCGAACACCTCAGCTTGGAAAACTGTGGGGTATTTTCCTAGAGCGTAGCTTTCTCGTATGTTCCTCCCTTCCAGATAGATCCCTGCGCCCAAAGCCTGTTTGTCAGTCAGTCGAGATCCGTCTGTGTAACATACTAAGCTTTCTGGGAGAAACTTCACTGTATTGTTTCTCCATTATTCTCTGCTTGGAATAGTGAGTTGGAACTTCCTCTTTCATATCAGCCTGTCCTGCACTTCATTCACTATGAGAGTGGTGATAGGAATCTGCTGCTCCACCAACTCTGCTATTTTCGAATGTCCTGTTATTGTCCCTTCACTTGCCCAGTTTCCTGAGTCCTGCATCCGCAGGTGGGCCGCCATTGCTGTCTCCTTTATCCAGATTTGAAGCGGTAGTAGCCCCAGCATTACTTCTAATGCTCCGTTTCTGTCGTCCTCATTGCACCTGTTATTACTAGGCATGCCATCCTCTGGACCTTACTTAGGTTCCGACATATCGTACTGGTTGCTGCGCCCGGCCACCACACTGCTGATCCATGATGGATCTTTGGTCTTACAATTGCTGTGCCCAGGCAGCCAAGGAAACTCGGAGAGAAACATGCAAAGGCCGTTCCAATCTCCTGAGTTCTAATTCCATACAAGACGTATGGGTGCTGGAGTAGTTGATGGAATCAAGGATGCGCAGCTTGTGGAGATATGATCAGAATTGTCAAGTACAAACAGCTCGTACATCTATGGTGTAAGGTGCTGAATTATTAGTGAGGAATAAGTCGAGTGTGTTGGCTGAATGACTGTTAAAATCAGGAGTTCGCGTAGGTTCCTTGATGAGCTGCTCTTAGCTGTGAGTGATGACGAAAGCTTCGGCATATCGCCCAGCTTCATCCGGTTTGTTGGAGATTTACATTGAAATTGCCCATGATGGTGATTTCTGCTGCTGGATCGTTCTGCTCAATTAGGTCGAGCTCTAGGGACAAGAATTTGAAGAGCTCTTAATAGGATGGATCAACCGGTGATGAGTAGAGACAACAACGATATTTGGTCTGTTAATGGGCATCGGGTTTGAATCGCATAACATCAAATTATTTGGTTTCAAAGTTTTTTCTCGATGAAACAAGAGATTCGTTATAGAATAAAGGCAGCGACCTCCCATAAACCTGGAGCGTCTGTGGTGTTCGCACCCAGAACAGAGCATATATAGGTTGTATCGGTGGATAAAATGACTGTATCTCAGTTAGAGTCAATAACGTCTGGCTTCTCAGTTCGATATTCTCACTTAGACCATGGATTTTATATGAGGCTTCTGTTAGCCGATGGTGAGCCCCTTCTAGCACCTCCCACCTGTAGATTCGAATGGATAGGTATTTTACTTCCGGATAATTGAATGATGTAGAAACAGAACACCCTTATTGTAATGGTTATAGAGCTATAGAGCTTTTTCTCATTACGTGGACACGATAATAATACCACGAAGTAAAGGTATACTAACTATAGATATGAATATATGTTATCTACCATACTGTCAAAGTAACTATTCGAAACTAATTGATTTTTTGAATCGCATGGTTGAAATGGAATTGAAAACATAGAATCATCGGGCAGAATAAACTTCAAGCACAAGACAATAAATTAATGTGATGGAATGATGACCGGGATTTCTAGAAAACATTTTCCATGTAAGTATTTAAAGAAAATTGGAAGGTCGCTGACTTTCCTGCAATGACTTTCCTGCAATGTTTCAATGATGTCAGAGTATCATCTAGTGAGTGTGTGTGTGTATCCACCTGTCAGGTCATGAGAATCTATTGAAAGTTAGTGTAAAGTAGCATTACGCTCGGAATGAAAATCAAGTTTTCCTGGAACACTTATCACAATGAATCTCATATAATTTTTCCATGAGAGAGTATTACTCATGGATAAATCGAGCATGAATATGCTGGACTTTATGGCAATGGTGGTACCAGACATCGTTATAGAATAGAGAGAATACAGGCTTGAGTTTTGGTGGAGCTGAATTATTGAACTAGGTTCTTGGTTTCCCATCAGTTCCCAATTTTGGCAAGATCTCCATTGATATTGTTGATTCTCAATTACTTGGCATGAAAGAGAGAAATAAATAACGAAATATTTCATACACTCCTTGGTGTAAATACTATCATTATTTCCTACGCAGGAACCAAGATTAATAACATTCTTCATCAACATGGTGTATCTACCATAGATTATCCTAAAACTAGCAATATATTTCAATTATAATGCCGTTCATCTGAATCAAAATTATATATATTGAAAATCATATTTATTATTTCAATAAATATCTAGTCGTCATGAACGCGAAAATAATTGCATCTCTTATAGCAATCATCAAAAAAGACTTGAAGAACAATTCATAAATGTCATATAGTTTTAGCTCTGTGAACGCACTCTGAAGGATAATATGAATTCCCCATGTGGAGAACACACCAGGAAACCAGGGGTTTTGTGTTGTTTATATATCAAGCAATGAACTTCATTCAATATTCATCCATACAAATTTCAACAACATTTACTTTACTGAGTTACCTAACCTATCAAACTAATCTTCATCAACACATGGTTTCTTGTTGATAATGTATATTATAGAATTATTTATCATTATTTTCTTTCTATATTTCAGTGCCAGAGGGATTTACTTCTTGAAGACGCATAGTTCTGCGCCATATGCAATGGGAGATAACAGCTGAAAATATATTGAAATAATTAACTTTCTTACTATACATATGTATCTATTGAATCAAAATTGTGTTATTCCAAGTATACCTACCACTGACTTCATTTTGAATACATGAAATTCCTGAGTATAAAAACTGTGGTATCATTATGTGTTGATAAGGGTTGATTGCTTTACCTCCATTCATGTTTTTTATTTCTTGTTGATGATAGTCTAATAATTTTAGGGACTAATGATTCTTTATTGTCGAGTTGGATGTTGACTAAATGGCAGATGTAAATATGTGTAAACCCTAATAGATATTTCTTTGTATTCAACTCTTTTGATTCTCAGTTTAGTTGAATCAATATGAACCCTGCATCACAATTTAATAATTTCATCAAAAAGAATATCTGGTGATGGAGATGTATATGAAGCCTGAGAAGTTCTACACAAGTCTGGATTCTTCTAGTGTTGTGTTAATCCACTCACTAGTTGGCGACATTCGAGAACTTTGTTGACGTTTCCACTGAACTGAAATTTTCCAATGAAGGGAACTGTTGTATTTCGTGCAAGATAATTTATTCAAATTCATTACTCGTAGCAGAGTGCTTTCGACTGTTAAGTCATCATCAGTGCATACCTGTGAGTAAGTAATGTGCTTTTAGCTATTGGAAAATATTGGAGATTTGAAAAATTTCTTTGAAACTTTTTTTTTAACATTTTTTGAAGATTTAATATTGAGAAAAGTTGAATTGAATTGGCGACTTGTTACTTGTGTATCAACTGTAGATTTTGAAAAGACATTATCATTATCAAAAATTGGAAATAGTTGAATACGAATTCAGAAATTGATAAAAGTGAGGTTAGTTACTCGTCAGGCTAATAAATAATTCACTCATAATATTTTTCCACAGAATTATCAAAAACTCCTTCTTCTCTATGATGATTCAATGATATATCCAAATCAGCAATTTGTGCACTATCTTCCCAAGCAGTTTTCCATAACACTGAGAACACCAATGGTTCCATCCTTTTCTTCTCATATTCCAGATTGAAGTGGTTTCTTGATGTTCCAATTTCGTGAGTTGTGGAGGTTCTCATTAGACTTTTCACTTCCTCCGCAGTTGGAAGCTTGAGTTTTCACAAAGATTTCTGAGAATAATTTGTCACAAACCGAATTCACAAACCTTTTTTGTGTAAATAGGTTGCCAGACAGATGAATCTATTGAACTTTTGATTGCATCGGGAATAACTTGAGTGAGCTCTCATTAGGCTCAACTGGGTTCTCCTAGTGTAATCACTTGTTGACTTGTTGCATATTTGATGATCCAGACTACTGAGTGAGTTGTTAGTTAGGTTCTCATTAGACCAACAAAACATCCGCTCCTCAGGGACTTGGTTATCTTTTCCCGATTCCATATTGTTTATCTCCACTAATTGTTTCATACCAATAAACATTCATGATTATTCCTTTGACACATGTCATGTCTTGGATGTCATGTCATGCATGTCAACTTCAAATTTGCCTCCATTATTCCAGAACGTTCCATGACAATGAAATCAAGGTCCGCCACTCATCAAGTTCACTTCAAGAGAGAGAATGTAATCTGTATTTCACCCACTCTTGGGAAACACATTTCAATATGTTGGTACCGTATTTAGCAATGATGTCGATAGTTTGAAACTGGACCAGAGATATTTTAATGGACAAATTTCCTTGTTAACCTGACGAGTAAGTAACCTCTCTTTCATCAATTTCCAAATTCGTTTTTAACTATATCTAATTTTCGATTTCATCATATTGTCTTTTCGAAATCTAGAGTTGATTAACAAGTAACAAGTCACCAATTCAATTCAACTTATTTCAATATTAAATTTTCAGACACCTATTTGCTGTAAGCTAACAACAACAGTAATATGTTGAAGGTTAGATACTTTTATCCAAGGAATGTGATTTTAAGACTGTTTTTGTGGAAGATCATGAGAACCAGTAAATTCGAGACTCTTTTGTTATTGGGTTTTTCACCACAAAGTCGTCAACCTATACTGGTATACTCGTATATTGAGAGAATCCAAGGGTCTAGAAGAAATCTTCCAAGTGACTGGAGCCGTCTAACTAGCTCAAAAACACTCATAGTGCTAGTTAGCTCACCATACCAGCGGAAGTGGAATATTTGGGTATAATCCTCGATAAGAAACTCACGTGGTACGCTCACTTGGAAGAGGTTCTCCACAAGCTACATCATCCTTCTGGACATGTCGAAGAATCCGCGGAAATAATCTAGGGGCTCAGGGCCCAAACTAATTCACTGGATATATGTGATGATTGTTAGGCCCATGATCACATATGGAGCGATTGCTTGATGACCGAAAGGCAAGCTCTCTAGCATACAGATGTAGTGAGCGGACCCTGTATACAGTGATTTTGATTGATTTTGAACTTTCATCACGATTGCGGGAGGTGTCAAAGTGGAGAACTGTCAAGAGATCTTTCGAGATGACGGCAGAGATTGTCGCTATTATTCATATCGCTGAATTGGGTACGTTTCGCCAATTCAGATAATATTCATCGTCTGCGATGGTATTCGAATGTTCCTGAGGATAGAATTCCGCAAGTGAATGGAGTATTGCTGTTTGATGTGGCGATTATAACTATTTACCACCAGAGCTGTTAGTGAGTCGTAAGTGGATACTCCAAGTACACTATCATACATTACTGAAATCATCAGTTATACTTCGTGTTTACGTGGTGTTGACTCAGTATTTAATGGACATTATTTTGGGACTTTGGGGTAGTTTAGTTATCTATAGATGTTAGATAGACTGTGTTCTTCAGATTATATATATAAAATCAAATTCGTCAGTAGTGATTTCACCATTTGAAACCCACACCCCTTTAATTCGTCCTGCCTTCTGCAATTCTTGATAAACAAGACATAATTCAGAAGCAGTACATCACACAGAGACAGGCTTGTCTGGCAATCACTGGTGTCATCAGAATCACAACGTCAGCAGCTATGAAAATCCATATAGATACACATTTTTCTGGAGAGAGAGGCTAGATGGGCAACATACAGAATTGCGCATACTGCAAATTGCACCAATCACAGATGACTGTTGGTTCGCAGATGGTTCAAAAACACCCACAGGCTCTGGTGCGGGTGTATACGGTCGCAAACTTAGAACAGATATATCAACTTGTCTTGTATCATTCATGTGTGTGTGTGAACAGATTGGAAAAAACTAACCCCACACATAACACAATTAGAATATTCTCGGATAGCCAAGCGACTCTGAAAGCACATAGCTGAAACTGATCAACGTCTCTCCGCGATTGGAATACTCAATACATTATTGAAAGGAACATTCTCAGATACATTTATGAACACAAAAAAATGGATATATATAAAGAAATACATTGGGAATTCGCATTCTCCATGTGATGAAAATATCAATTCTTTCTCGGTTTATTCAACAGAAAACAACTACTTTCCTCCCAGACAGCACTGGATATCCCTAGAATATTCTCTAAATATGCTGAAAAGGAGGAGTAAATTCCGAATATTCATCGATTATTCCTAGAATATATACATGCCTCTGGAACATCTAAAAGGAATATTCCAAAGTGAATAGTCGAATATGTTCAGGGAATATTCAGGTTTGAATTTTCCAGGAATATTCCCAAATGAATATTCTCTTTTGTATATTTATGAAATATTCCCAACTGAGTGTTCTGTGGGGTATATTCATGAAATATTCTCAACTGAATATTCTGTGCGGTATATTCATGAAATATTCTCAACTGAATATTCTGTGGTGTATATTCATGAAATATTGCATGAATATTCCTATGTTTCTCAACACATAAATACCAATTATTAGTTCAGAGATGTGAGTATCGAACATCAATTAGATGTGAGGGGGTTTTGAAACAAAAAGTGTTTATGATCCGATTTCGAACAACGCTCCCAGGCAATCAGATGATGAATGATCACGTCACTGTGACGTTCCTAATTGGTGATTTTTTGTCAGAGACGTCACACACCAATTTATGACGTCACTATGACGTCACTATGACGTACTTTCTATGACGTGATAATCACGTCATCGTTTCGACGTCGAGTGAACGTCTCTTAGATGAGTAAAAGAAGACGTGAGTTTCATGACGTTGCAGGGACGTCCTGTCGACGTCCATTTTCCCCAGACCTTCTCTAAACCATGGATATTTATATATTATCATGTGAAACAGAAGTATAACTCATGAAAGCAAATAAACATGCAAGTTTCATTCTAATCATCAATATAACCGGAAAGAAGTAGAAAAACTTGTTTCTAAAGAACTTTGACACACTGTATATCTCGGAAACCAACAAGCTATGTATGTATAGAAATGATTGTTTAGGTATACCTATATTGAAACCGTTACTCTTATGACGTAGCAGTGACGTATCTATGACGTCTAAAAATGACGTCGGTGTGACGTACCAATTCGGTGAGCTTCGTCATTTAGAATTTTTTTTCAATAATCTGCTATTCAGATTTTTGTTGGGTGACAAAGAATGCATCAATATACATTATTCAACAAAGTGAAGCCAAATTCGCCAACATCCTTTCCATTGCTATCAAACTATTTTTTGATTGCTTACATCTCGCCGACACAAACTACAAAATTTTTTATACAAATACGAGTAACTGATTGCATCCTGACGGAGATGCGTACTGAAGGATAGCGCTGCTGAATAGGCGATTGAATGAACATGACACAGGAGGGACCCACCAAGCAGACACAACAATGCATAATCAATATTATATAATGTCATCAGAGGCTAGTGATGTTTATAAAGGAATCTTTTTTACGTATCATCGCCAAATTCAATCGTCATTTTGACGTCATTATGACGTCAGGCGGACGTCACAGTTTGGTGAGTGAATGACGTCAATACGACGTGAGTAATATGATGTCATTGGGCTGTGACTTATTCACGTCATTATCACGTCAATGCGACGTCAACTACTGACGTCACCTTGGTC